GGATGGGTTGCCTTCAGTTAATTTAAGAGAGTTTATTGAAAGGCTTGATAAATATTTGAATGAAAAGGACTGGCTTTAATATATTGAAGTTTAGCTTAGTGGATTGGATAAGCCAAAAGGATCCTTGTTATACTTAAAGGATATCTATAATAATAAAAGGGCGTGTTTGTGGGTCTTTGTGCACGTGACTGCCATAGCTCCAAAGGGAAAAAACCTAGAAACCTGATATTTTGCATCCATACTAAGTGTACACTGATGTTGTTCACTTGGGTATTACTTGTTTTATACACGTCAGTGAGCACATGCATGTACACATCTTTTTAATGAGGCAAGCTAGCAAAAAAACCACATAGGAAAGAAGTGGTTTCTTATATAACTACTTCTAATATATATAGAAAAGCCAGGGCATTTTGGTAACAATGCATTCCAACAGTGGCTTTTATGTCATGATGCTCAGAAACAAAAGTATATACATTATACTTTTATGCTGAAATGAGTTCAGAAAACACAAACTATCAACCTAATAAGCCAAGTGAAGCCGGGTACTTTCACTAGTATGTAAATAAATCTCCCTAAAGATTTCTAATAAAGAGTAATCAATATGAATACATATTAAACATATCTTTGTAGTCTTTACCTGTGATGAGTGGTATACCTTGGGCCTTTGATGTGTCCTGCACCATTACACCCAGGAGTAGGACATCCTCCCTGACCAGGTGCACTGAGGTTCTCACTCACTATAACATACAAACAAAATCACCAACATAAACACACTTTCTACAATCTAACTGAAACTTTTATCAAACACATCATGGAAAAAGCATCGATGAGAGTGTCCAACTAAACCCTGGTACAGTGCTGTAGGAACTAGTTCAGTATTCTTTGTAACAACATAACACTCAAAGTATTACTTTTCAATTTTACAGTAAACCTCACTTAATTCAAGCAGTTCTAAGACACTTGAAAAAAAATACTTATAACACAGAAAACAGTTGCTGAGCCACAGGATAAAACAATAAAAGCGTAACATAACCATAAATTCTGATTATAGACTTCTATACCAATAGGGGGTTGTAAAGGATGTCCAGTTTGATAACACCATCCTGCAGGGTGTATCTCAGGAGAATCATCATCAACCCAGTAATCGTAGGCATCAGACCATCCATCAAAATGTATCTTTACAGCATGAGCTGACGTCTCCACAATTGTTACCACCCTCAGTAGCATTGGATTCCTCTTATCCACTGCTTCCAACTTCCAGTTTGATTTAAAGCTGTGTGGTTGTCTTTGCTTGAAAGCTCGAGCAGGCACAGCTTGGGATTTTGTTTCTGTTAAGTACTGGTCCCAGGTGAAATTCTCTGGATCACTACAATCTGTAATGAAAGAGAGTCCTCCTCAAAATCTAAGGCAATGAAACAAATAAGAAAGCTTTATCACACCTACATTCAACTGTGATGTTACAGATGATAAACCCATTACTTCTATTGCATATTGAGGCCAGGATATGAATAACAGATGTTGACTCTAGATGTTAACTAAAGTGTTTCCACAGGTAACAATACTATATAAGATGTTGATATTACATGTTATTTACAGTAGTTCCACAGGTAACAATACTATATAAGATGTTGATATTACACATTATCTACAGTAGTTCCACAGGTAACAATACTATATAAGATGTTGATATTACACATTATCTACAGTAGTTCCACAGGTAACACTACTATATAAGATGTTGACACTAGATGTTATCTACAGTAGTTCCACAGGTAACACTACTATATAAGATGTTGACACTAGATGTTATCTACAGTAGTTCCACAGGTAACACTACTATATAAGATGTTGACACTAGATGTTATCTACAATAGTTCCACAGGTAACACTACTATATAAGATGTTGACACTAGATGTTATCTACAATAGTTCCACAGGTAACACTACTATATAAGATGTTGATTCTAGATGTTATCTACAGTAATTCCACAGGTAACACTACTATATAAGATGTTGATATTACACATTATCTACAGTAGTTCCACAGGTAACACTACTATATAAGATGTTGATATTACACATTATCTACAGTAGTTCCACAGGTAACAATACTATATAAGATGTTGATATTACACATTATCTACAGTAGTTCCACAGGTAACAATACTATACAAGATGTTGATACTAGACATTATCTACAGTAGTTCCACAGGTAACAATAATATATAAGATGTTGATATTACACATTATCTACAGTAGTTCCACAGGTAACACTACTATATAAGATGTTGATTCTAGATGTTATCTACAGTAGTTCCACAGGTAACAATACTATACAAGATGTTGATATTAGATGTTATTTACAGTAGTTCCACAGGTAACACTACTATATAAGATGT